AAACACGCTTTTATACTTGCTGACTCGAACTTTGTCACCAATTTTAAACTTTGCTTTCTATAAAGGTATTTTTCTGAGCTTTAAAAATCTTTCTTTCAAAATCTCAACATCTTCTGCAGTAACATCTTTCGGCTTCATTCCAATAGTCCGATGTTTAGTGTTATTATAATTGGAAATAAGATTAGGTAATATATCATACCATTTATAATTTCCACGTTGACTGAATTGCATCCACATTTTTCGTTTTAGAGTTCGATTAAATCGTTCAACAATAGATGCTTTCAAATTACTTAATGTTGAGTAGAAATTAATTTTATACTTTTTCATTAAAGCTTCAAACTGAGAATTATAGAATTCTTTACCTTTATCAGAATGTAGATTTTTTGGAATACGTCCTTCTATGAATATGGATTTCATAGCGTTAGTGACATCTTTTCCATTTTTACTTTTTACAGGAACAGCCCAAGCGTATTTGGAAAATATATCTATAACTGATAGTAAATACTTAAAACCTTTATTTACTTTGGAATAAGGTAACATTTCTACTAAATCTGCTTGCCAAGTCTCATCAATATCACGCATGTCGACTCGGCGGCGATGATAATTCCTCCTTGCCTGACTATGAAGTTCAGTCACTACTGTTTTCTTTTTGTCGTTCATTTTCTAGAGTACTCAAACGAGCATCCAATTGACTGATAATTTCAGCGTTTCGATATGATAAATCAGTATTTATTTCTCTTTCCAAGACTTTTAATTTTTCGTTTATAGAGTCTTCGAGAATTTTTAATAATATATAGTTATTATCAATTTCTTTTCTCAGTGAAGACGTTACTTGATATATTAGTCTTAACTCGTTTTCGACTAAACGTTGTGCAAGTTGTAAATTAACTACGTCAGTTTTTTCTTTTGCATCAGCAACATTGGAAATTTTTCTACCCTGTAAGTCGAAGTGACCTTCTGAGTTAATTTTAAAACCAATTCCAGGTGGACCTGGAGGTCCTCTTGCGACCCTTACAATTCCTCTTTCATTAAGAGGATGTCCGAACACATCAATGCTCATCTTAAGACTGAGAGAAAGTTGATGGAACACCTCCTTATATACTTTTTTTGAGCCTGACTAAATGAAACAATAATTTTCAATATATAATTTGCGCTTCACGTAATTCTTCTATGATTGACATAATTTCATTATTGTGACTGGGATTCCCAGCTGCTTGAGATGCCATAAGCAATCGAAGACGGTCAACTAATTCGTTAAGATCATCCCAATAGATATAGTCTGGTTGAAAATTTTTTTTACAATCATAAATTTCATTATGAGGAAAAAGTTTTAAAATAATATTGACATATTTAAAAGTTTTACTTGTACGTATAGGTTCAGAAGAACTATAATTTTTTCTGTGAGCATTAGAGATGATGAGAATTTGTTTATAATTATTCATATCATCATCGCTAATCTATGACATTTCAGGTTTATTTTTAAATAACAGTTCCAATAAACCGGAAGTAATATTAAAACGTTTATCACCAACATTTATTAAGTGATCTTTAAAACTTATTGGTGCATCACCAATCTTGAGAGAACCATTTTTAACCTTATATACGCCGTACAACGTATCTAAACATTGCTTTCTATTATGATCTAGCAAGTATATATATTTATTAACTACTTTATCATATTCAAAGCCTGGAATTACTGATGTTTCATCTTCATCAGCACTCAAAAAATTCATTTTATCATCTAATTCATCTTTACTTTTAATTACCTCCTCCTTCTTTTCTATCTTATGATTTTCATGTTTAACATCAGAGAGGTTAACAATTTTCTCTAAGGGTTGAACTATAGGTTTAAAAGTTTCACTCAAAACATTTTCAACAGCTTCTTTTCCAATTTTTAACATGCGATGTTTCCGTCTAATATCCTCACTAGCTTTGGCAATTTGGCGGAGATACTCTTTCTCCTTACGAAACATGTTGTTAGTTCAAAGATGTACACTAGACTAATACTCATGGAACCAATCACCTTCTATTTATAGTGTTATGAAGCAGTCAAAACCTTTCCTATATCTCCCCTCATTCAGATTGCAGTCTTTATCAATGACTACGAAGCCATATTTATCAGAGTTCCAACATGTTGAACAAAGCTCACGAAACTTGGTAAATGTCATGTCTGTATTAACATGATCATCATACACATGTTTTAAAATTATTTCATCCTGACGAAAAAGAACTAATAAATAAACATTATCTCTTACTAAATGTTTGGGAATCCTCGCATATGTCTGACAGAGATAAAAGCAATCAACATTGACATGTCTACCCATGCAGAAGAAAGCTCTTATATTATCTTGCTTTTCACAAGCTACGTCATCAAATATAAAAATAGAATTTGGCCTTGAACCTTTTGGGGAAATTACATCTTCATGCTCGCTAAATGGTAAATATTTAATTCCCTTAACACTACCTATAACTTTTTCCAAAAATTTGTACTTTGGTTGGTGAAGAGATTTTGAGTAGAGATAAATATTATTAAATCTCAGACCATTTGGATGTAAAATTAGAGAAAGTAGTACATTTGTTTTACCACAATTTGATGGTCCACAAAAAATTGCACGAATACTACCAGACAACAAACTACCATGACGCTTCACTTGCTTCTTATCCTACTGTTTTACAATCGCATCTAGATTCACGACTGGAAGCTTGTGATGTTGTTGCTTGAATCGCATTCTGAAATAGACTGCCGCAAAAGGTATAAATACAGCCCTTATATAGCTTACGAGTCATTCTACTTTTAACTTTCATAGAGTAAGGTATGATTATACATTACCGCTCCCGAGGTAAAGGTTTAGTTAACAGTCTTAAAAATAAGTTACCATTTAAATTACACATACCTGGTTATCAATACTGTGGTCCAGGTACTAAATTGATAAAGCGTTTAGCACGAGGTGATACAGGTATAAACCCATTAGACGAAGCTTGCAAAGAGCACGATATTGCATATTCAGAGAATCGTAATAACGTTCAAGCAAGAAACGCTGCTGATAGGATTTTAGCTGATAAGGCGTGGCAACGAGTTTTAGCTAACGATTCCAGTGTAGGTGAAAAAGCTGCTGCTTTAGCTATATCTGGTACAATGAAGGTCAAATCAAAATTAGGTATGGGAATGAGAAGAAAAAAGACATCTAAAAATAAGAAGAAGAAGCAGAAACAAACAGTATTAAGAAAAATTGTTGATGCTGCTAGACATTCCATTATTCCGGGAAATGATACTCAATCTACAATCAAAGCTGCAGTTGAAAATGCTCGAAAAGCTATTAGAAGAGCAGGTGGTAGAAGTAAAATTTTAACACCTCGCATTCTACCAGTACCTTCAAAAGTTGGTGGTCTCTTACCATTAATTCCAATTTTTGCTGGACTCAGTGCTCTTGGAGCTCTTGCTGGTGGAACAGCAAGTATAGTGAAAGCAGTAAACAACGCAAATGCAGCAAAAGAGCAGTTGAAAGAAGCTCATCGTCACAATAGAGTAATGGAAGATGTTTCTTTAGGTAAAGGTCTTTTGTTGAAACCCTATCGACAGGGATTGGGACTTTATTTGAAAGCTTACTCTAAAGGATTAGGTATGAGGCAAAAAAAAGATGTTTAAAAAAAAAGTTCTCATAAAACTTCCTCAACGAGCATTAATTAACTATGATTTGCTCAAATACGCTAAAGAGTTAAAAATTCCTCATTTTCGAGGAGTATTCATGCGAAATGAGTTGCCAATAGGAGGACCTCGGAAAAATGAATCTGACATTATTAATCTCGATAATAAGGATGGTCCTGGAACACATTAGGTTGCTTATAAAAAGCTTCAAGATAAAGTATTGTATTTTGACAGCTTTGGTAACCTTCAACCACCTTTTGAGCTTATCAGTTATTTAGGCTATAATACCTTGATACAATATAATCATGACAGTTGTCAAAGTTATGATACTTTTCATTGTGGACACTTATGTCTTAAATTTCTAAGCGATCAACTCAAATTCTCTAACAAATATAACCTATATAAATACATGTAATCATATGTGAGCAATCAGTCTATAAAAAGTCATCATCATGGACGAATCATTTACTCTAACTATTTCAGGTAAATCACCTATACTTGAAGCAGAATATTTTTCACCAATAGAATTATTGCCAAATAAAAATTATGCTCTTGGTCTTGTTCAACTTCTAACTTTTAATTCAATTCCTAATGTTGATGTAGGAAAAAATAAATTTTATCTTGGTAATGATGTGATTACTATACCTACTGGCAGCTATGAAATTGAAGATATTGAAAAATATATTCAAAATTCCATTCAACAAGGATCGCAAGTTATAAACATTAAACTAAATAATAATACCTTGCGTTGTGAAATTATGACTAGACGTGAAATTGATTTTCACATAAAGATTCAATTGGTGAATTATTGGGATTCACTGCACGCATTCTCGAAGATAATGCAATACATACGTCAGATTTCACAGTAGCTATTCTTAATGTAAATGCTATTAGAATTGAATGTAGTATTACAACTGGTGCATATATTAACAATAAAAAAGTACATACAATTCATGAATTTTATTCAATTGTTCCAGCTGGATATAAGATCGTGGAAGTACCATCTCAAGTAATTTATCTTCCAATCGCCGTGAAGACAATACATAATATTCAAGTGCGAATCGTTGATCAAGAAGGAAATTTAATAAATTTTTTGTGGTGAAACTATAACAATTAGATTACACGTTAAGTCAACGTAATGGGTATAGTATTTCACAGAAAAACTGGTGGAAGCTATATAAACGAGCAACCATGTCAAAAAGCAATCAGTCTTCAATCAGTTCGCAAAAGGCTAACACCTTAGAACATACGTTTCCTAAAGCAGCTCGGTCTACGAGTTTATCAAGAAAACAAAGGAAGAAAAGTAAACTAATCATTAAAATATTTTTCATTTGCTGTTGTTTCTATAAAAGAAATGGAAGATATTCTAAACATTCTTAGACCAGTTAAATTTGATGATTCTCTAGCACACTATGAGATTCATTCTCACCAACCCTACAATTCATCAGCATTTAATAATAGTGATGAAATTCGAATTCCAGTTCAAAATCAAGATCAATACATTTTACCCTCAAAAAGTACATTACACGTAACAGGAAGATTAGTAAAAGCTAATAATACTAATGTGACTAACACAAAGTTAATTAGTAATAGCGTTAGTTTTTTATTCATCGAGATTCGTCATGAATTGAGTGGAGTGGAAATTGATCCCTGTAAAAATGTTGGTCTAACAACCACTATGAAAGCCTATGTTTCTCACACACCTAATCAATTAATTTATGCTGAAAATGCTGGCTATCTTGAATTCGATGACGATCTTAGAATAACCAATGAGAATGGTTATTTTGATGTAAACATACCATTAAACATGATTTTTGGATTTGCTGAAGACTATCGAAAGATTGTTGTTAATGCAAAACATGAACTTATCCTCACAATATCTCGTACAGACCTTAATACTATAGTTGATATTACGGCAACTGAAGAGCATGAGCAATTTAAGATTATAATTAATAAAGTGGAATGGTTGATACCATATATATTCCTTGGAGATCGTCAAAAAATTGAATTATTAAAATTTATTGAAAAAGACCCTCTTATATCTATGAGCTTCAGATCGTGGGATATGTATGGATACCCATTGTTACCTACCACTCAAAAACATGTTTGGACTGTAAAAACTTCTACTCAGGTTGAGAAACCTCGATATGTAATCCTTGGATTACAAATAAATCGAAAAGATCATCCTGGAAGATATGCAAATATTTTTGATAGCTGTAATCTCATAAATGTAAAACTTTTCTTAAATTCACAATACTATCCTTATAGTAATTTAAATTTGAATTTTAATCAAAATCAATTTTCAATTCTCTATGAGATGTATTGTAATTTTCAATCATCATACTATGGTAAAGATCCTGAGCCTATTCTGTCCAGGAATGAATTTAAAGATTATGCACCATTAGCTGTCATAGATTGCTCCAAGCAAAATAAATTTCTTAAACAAGCTTCTGTGGATGTGAAACTAGAATTTGAATCTAGTGAAAATTTTCCAGACAATACAGCAGCTTATTGTTTAATTATTCATGATCGAATTATTCAATACACACCAATCAGTAATGTTGTGAAGAAAGTATCGTAAAGAGTGGGGGTAAAAGTGAGTAGTGGGGGTAATGGTAAAAAAGTGGAGATAAGAGTATAAATACAGCAACTCTTAGAGGCTAAAGTCATTCATCTGTTATAGATACCATGGCGTACGTCGTAGATTTCCAGTGCTTCAAAAGACCTTATAACGAGTTTATCATAAAAGAGCTAGCAATCATCCCACTTCAAGAAGATGCTCATCCATTGGTGTTCATCTTCGAGCCGCCATATGCCTGGAGCCGCCTACCGAGAAGATACAAGAGTCAAAATCGATGGACTGCAATTAATTATCATGGTATTGATTGAAATGCTGGTGACATACCTTATGAAGATTTACAACCAATTCTGAAAGAAATATTAATAGGTACACCTACAGTTTATGTAAAAGGTTTAGAGAAACAAAAATGGTTAGAAAGCTATACACAAAATGTATTAAATTTAGATGATTTGAATTGTCCGTCGTTGAAAAAATTAGCCTTAGATCAATATACTCCATGTACAAATCACACAAACAATAATTTCCATTGTTCTGTAAAAAATGTATATAATATTCGAAAATGGTTACTACAACCATCTAATGTACCGACAAATATTCCTTTAGGTCACGATGAAGTTGATAATAATTCAACATTAAAAGATTTTTATAATAATTGTGACCACTTTTTATTAAGTTCATAAATGTATATTGTCATTGTAAATAAATGTTTTTTTACAAATAATTTAAAATTGTTTATATTTATTTATTAAAAAATTGTATAAAATTTTTCATTTACACACGTCTGGACATGTTTAAACTTGTCTAGACATGTATTTGTGACGTCATAGAATCAAAATTGAACGCACATGCGTACTATGAAAGTGGGCGTGGTTATTCAAATGATTTTGCGCAATTGGATAGAATAGGGTGGGGGGCTTTAAGCAATTGCGCATGCGCGAGTAAAATTTTAGGTATAAATTTAGGGTGCAGGAGCTGTTTTGCTAATTCTTTTTCTCAGATATCGTCTAGTCTTTAAAGATGGATCTAAGTAAAATAAATGCTGTTGGTCGTATGGAGGGTTTCCTGCCTACGAAACCGCTTACAGAGTTGACTCCTGGATATAAGTATCCTATTACCAAAATCCAGTTTGTCAACACAAAATATGGAGAAAAGGTAGTCGTTGAAGAGGATGGAAAATTTAATACTTTCTTACCTTCACGATTTGTACCTATGTTCGCTGACAACTCCATTTGCTTCGGTCAAATGCAAGAAGCTATTGATGCTGGACAATTACGCCTCAAGTATATTGGTGGTCCATATAATCATATTGAATTTAAAATAAAACAAGTTTAATTTTGTATAAATTTATGTAAAAAAATATTTCTATAATAAAGAAAATAATCTAATATTTCTATTATTATTTTATGTTAAGTTTAGATTTAAGATTACCTTTAGTTTGTAATTCAAGATTAACTATAAAGTTAAGAATAATTGTAATTTTGGATTTGAGGTTAGGTTACAATTAATTTTAAAAAACATTTTATGATTAGGTTAAGTTAATTTTTAGGAATTTATATATATTTTAAAGAAAAAATAAAAACAACTGACTTTAAACATTTTTTATAAAAAAAATTAATTTAAAAATACAACAACAGCTTTTAATAAAAAACTTGAAACTTTTATTATAATGACGTGAGCGCCATCTTTTGGGTGGTTAGTGAACTATCTGTAATGTTCGGTCAGTTAAACAGTTTCCTACCTAATCACTCGAGTTAAAATTTATGTCAGATTCCTAAATTACCCCCTGCTGATAAAGTAGAAATCTGCATTACCGACCAGACAGTTACCATACGCGGAAATAAATTTAAAATAATATCTAAAAAGATATAGTCGATAAGAAAGGTAAGCGCCACCTATCGGGTAAACTAAGTCGGTCGGTAAAACAGTTTTAATAAAAAAATATTTTCTAAAAAAAGTTGATAAAAAAGTGAGCGCCATCTATTGGGTGGTTGGTAAACTAATTCGGTAAAAAAGTTTAAAACTACAGACTGAAGTGAGCGCCATCTATTGGGTGGTCGGTAAACTAATTCAGTAAAAAATGTTTAAAACCACCGACTGAAGTGAGCGCCATCTATTGGGTGGTCGGTAAACTAATTCGGTAAAAAAGTTTAAAAACAATAGACTGAAGTGAGCGCCATCTATTAGGTGGTCGGTAAACTAATTCAGTAAAAAAGATTAAAACCACCGACTGAAGTGAGCGCCATCTATTAAATGGTCGGTAAACTAACTTCAATGTTTAATAAAACATGTTAATTAAAGTCGACAACACACTCTGAAGTGAGCGCCATCTATTAGGTGGTCGGTAAACTAACTTCAATGTTCGGTCGGTAAAACAGTTTCCTACCTTATCTGTCGAGTTGAAATTTTTGTCAGATTCCTACCTTACCGACTGCTGATAAAGTAGAAATCTGCATTACCGACCGAGCAGTTACCGACTGCAGGTACTTAGCCGAGATCAGAACCTGGGGTAGAAGCCCCTTAGCTATACTACTAGAATTAAATTTAAATTTTTTCGCCATTGACATGAAAAAGTGTCTTTTTTGTGCCTGTTTTGGGCAGATAAAGTAGCACTTTTTAAGGCAGTTTGGGCCAACTGCCTAAAAAAGACTTTTTTAGGCAGAAAACTGCCCTATAAAGTCTTCTTTAGGCAGTAAACTGCCCTACAAAGTCTTTTTTAGGCAGTTGTTAATTTTTGCATAATTTTTGTAATAATATATAATATATATAATATATTATATATATATATATATTTCTTTAAAATTGTTTCACTTTTTCATAACAATGGCGAAAAAAATAGCGTATGTGGCTCGCACGTAGTAATTTTTAGGTTCGGATGATTTCAATACTCGCTGTCTGTGCGATTTCGGTTCGACTTGGCTCGCTTTCGGCTCGACTCGACTCGCCTTCGGCTCGTCTTAATCTCACCTACGTCGCACTAACGACAGCTCGTACTGAAAATTACATCCTCACCTAAAAAGTACTACTTTACGTGCTTGCCACATAATATACTATTTTTGACATTTTATGAGCCAACTTTCACGGTTTGCATACGCTAGGGAAGAATGTGTACATGAATTGTTTTATATAATTTGAATTGCATAACAAAATACGATTTCAATGAGCCTAAGAACGTTTAAAAATATTATTTTTTGCCAGAGAAATAAAAAAAACAGTAAAAACATTGAAAATTGGGTTTTTCTTAGATATCTAATTGAAAAATTAACATATTCTCTTTGTCAAGGTGTCATTTCTTTCAGAATTTTATTAGCTTTAATAAAATAAAGAGGAAAAAATTTTAGTTTTAATATTCTTGAAGATTTGAACAGTTTTATAGTTGTTGAAAAAGCAGAGTTCGCACAATTTCGGACGGTAGTGTAAATGAAAACAAAAGTTACACTAATTTGTTATTGTAATTAACTTGCAATATATGAACAATATCAAATTAAAACTTTGCATGCTTATTTAGGACATTATACACTATTTGTTGCCAAAAGTAGAAATAGAAAAAAATCTGAGACTTCAACATTAAATCTCATACGATTTTTTATATATATTTAAACAGAAATATGTCGAATTTTCTATGACAAGGGAGTATCATCTAGAACCGCGCCGATAAACTAGTGCATTTACCCTATATTCTTTAATAGAATTGAATTTCGTTAGATTTATAGATCAAGTATAGTTTTAAAATTCTCACAAAATAGCCTAATTTAGTAACTAAATATCCAACAAGCCAACTCATTGAAAATAAAGAATTAAATAATTTCTCTGAACAATATTGAAATTTTATTGTTAATAAATTTAGACATACAAGCAATATTTTTTAAATTTAAATTATTGAAAAAATAAGTAATAATTATTTCAAACAACTAATGTTCCCGTACGTGAGATTCATAACATTTGGCTGACGAACCGCTGATTTAGACTACTGTTATGCGCGGTGTTTCAAATTTCCAGTTTGCGCAGAAACTTCAATTCAGATTCTGTGAAAGGAAAAAATTCTTGACTAGAGGACTAGAAACAAAAAAACCCTCCTTTGCTGTTTTCTCATACAAAGTAATGGGTTACTTGACAATGGTGACATTATAGGCTTGCTTTCGTTATCTGAATTTTTTCACACTTTGATACTTTGATACATACGTACAACTCTCTGTTTACTTAACGTATATGACGTCACTGAATTTTTTGAATATTTTTATAACACTTTCTGCACCTGAGTTGGAAGCGGTGTAAAATGTGTACACTTTCATTGCAACGAAAACAGAACTAATAAAACACTTAAGCGCCTCGCAGCGTAGTGCCTGCGTATGAACACTTAAATCTTACCAACCAGATGTTCTGTCATATGGTGCTATAGAAAAAAGCAACGAGTACCTTTAACAGTATAAAATTAAACTGTATAACTAAAAGTTAAATAAATATGCAATTAGTGAAATATGAAACAATAATTAAAATTTTTTGAAAACTGATTCAAGTTAATTTTAGAAGTATTTTTAGTTTTTTTACACAAAAACACGTCAGAAATGAATAAAAAACATGCAATATACACTTTTTTGCTTATTAGAGAAAAAATCTTTGAAAAATAGTTGATTTTAAACAATGGATAAAATAGCCCCGCGAATCCTGGATTTTTTGTTTTTCACAATTTTTTCTTAAAATACACAATAAAAAATTAGCGCACTACGTATACGTCATCACAACTAAATTGACAACACACACCTGGAATATTTTGCGAAAGACTATTGAACGACGCGAGATACAATATAAAGTTTGCAAACTTTCGAAATTTTGAGTCCGACTTTCACGACTTTACGAATTTTTACGACTCTCATTAGCTGTTTTAAAAGCTGTATTAAGATGGTTAGACAAAATAGTCAACATGCCAGAAGGAAGATACCCCAGAATCTGCTGTCGTAGAATTTTTGAAATGGCAACAAGAAAAATTCGAACAAATCAAAAAT